GCCTTGGGTGACATAGTCTAGTGTGAGGCGCCCCTGTCCATGGCAGAGGAGTTGGAACCAGAGGGTCTTAATGTCCTTTCAAACCCAAACCATTCTCTGAGTCTATGAAGACTCATATCACAGCCACAGCTACAAACTAGGAACTGTTCTGCTTTTACTTCTGCCTGCTCATTTGTGACAATTTTAGGTGACTACCAGAGAGCTTTTAAATCAAAGGCTTAGCACAAAAGTCTGTAAGTAGCAGAAGAGTTTGGCTAGATGACACAGGCAGCGTTTGTGTGCCCACAAAGGAAGATACCCTGTAGAAGCAGCCACAATCTCTGTTACTGGGATTTTGGGCATCCTCTTTGAATTTACCTTCTGATATGCTGAGCCACAAAACCCCTTCCTGGAGGCAGAGGAAGCCTGGATCACTGACCTGGTTTCTTACCTAAAGGCAGGGTCAAAATTTCCCAATCATTTAGGTCAAACTTAGCTAAAAATTCAAGTGCATCTTGCAGACAGAAAGTGCAGGGTAAGCCTCGTTTATCTAAGTGCACTCAAAAGTGCATGAATATACAGACCTCAATCTCCTTCAGAGCAGCAGTTAAGGATAATGAACCTTATGAGGTTTTACTCAAGAAAGGAGATGAGCTGGCTGTCTCATAGTCTTGGTTGGAGTCACTGGCAACTTGAGGAGGTCACACACATCATTTCACATTGTTACGATAGAAAATCTTTCTCTTCATGTAGACAGTGTTAACTCTTTAGAGCACTGATAGTTTAGGCTGGATATCTATGTTCCTAACAGAAACACAGGACACAAAAATGAATATAACCATTCCAGTCCCTGAGGTGTTTTCCATTACCCATATTGCTGACTATTAGCCAACACACTGTTCAAGTTCATTATCTCAGCTGCTTAGGAAAACGCAAGTAGGGATAGATTTGAAGAACTCTTCCCTGCCTTTAACTGTTCTTAGTGATGAACTTCTTGGGTCTACAAAGGTTAGCTTTTCCCTCTTCAAAAATCTACTGCAGCTTGGACTGAGGTGCAACAGAGCATAACCTTAATTGTGAGCCACCGAGATGGTGGGGAAGTGAATCTCAGCAGAGACTCTCCACGCTTGGCCACTTGCAAACGCAGTCCCTATGCCCTCATTATCAGAGGCAGATTTCATGAGGCAAGGGAAGCTTTGATCACTTGAGTTAGTGAAAGGCAGAGAATTTGTCTGTCTTTACAGCAGTATGGCTAAATCAGTAACTTGTGGAATAACAAAATTCAGGTGGATGAAGGGTGCATTATCTTATATATGTGTATTGGAAAGTTCTGGCAACACACTGCAGTTTTGAACAAATAAATGAATTTACTAGATGGAAGAGAGAGACTGCTGATAAAACAGAAAAAAATACTATACTCAGGAGGTGATTTTAGTCCAAGTGCTAATATTTTATACAAGAGAATATTGAATTTAAGGAGAGGCTTATTCATTCATTTGGCTTTTCAACTTTCCAAAGTGCTTTCATTGACTGATTTTGTTTGTGGCAGCTAATATTACTGTCACTGAAACAATATTTTTTCCTTATTTAACTCTCCTGATGCAGTTTGCCATCTGAAGTCACTTACCTTTCATTTTTTTTATATAAAGCTGCTTTTCAACATCTTTGAGATGCTTCACATGGCTTGAGCCTACATTTGCTCAGATAAAACTCGGCTGCTAAAAGATCAAGAGCTGTTGCACTAGCTGAGACCCAAGGTCCATTTGCTGTGAATTTAACTGCAGCAATATTAATTGACAAGATATCTGCAGAATAAAAGGGGAGATGTACCATCCTCCTTACATGTCAACTCTGCCTCCAAACTTTTTATGTGTTTTTTTTTCTTGGAGACAACGTTCCTCTACTAGGAGAAACATACATGTGAACAGAATTTCTTCAATTTGAGATCTGGTTTCACATAACTTTAGTATAGTAATTCCAGGCACTCTTAATCACCTCGTTACAGAGATGCCAACCACATGGTGGATGTACCATAGAAGATACTGCAGCAGGACCACCTTCCTCCCATTTAAAACCCATTTTGTTCAGCATTAAACTTTCTCTAAAGTTGCAGGCAGCTTTCTGAGTTGGAGTCCTGCCATTCCAGAAGACTACAGAACAGCAGACACATTTTGAACTTGAACTATATTTGCTGAGGGCAAGGTTACAAGCCACAGCTAAGAAAGTCATCAGCTCCGAGCTCCAGTCTTTGGGTAAGAGGCAAGGAGGAATTGTTTTGCAGGACCCAGCTGAATTCAGTGTGAAAATAAAACAAAAATTACTCTCAGATCTATGAAAAAAAATCATTTTTTTTTCTATCTCTGGAGGAGCAGAGTTCATATTTTTCATCCTTCCTTGCAAAATCCAAACAAACCATCAGACCTGGGGAATTCAGACAAGATTCAGCTCATGGACATGAATGTTTATTTCATTGAATCCACACTGACTTACCACCTTCCACTGGGACAAAGTGTTGTGCTTTGGCTTTCAGTGAGAACAGAGAAGCAATCCACTTGACAGCATCCTTTGCCAACTCAACCACAAGGCTTCGAGCAGGCTACAGAGGTGTTTGGGGTTAAAAACGTGGCAGCTACACCCCAGGGTGACTCAGATCTAGGAAAGAGCTTGCATGCCAGATGGCCAAACAGGAGATTGAGAGGAGTAAAAATCAACAAGGGAGAAGGACAAGTACAATGCTTTGACACCTTAACAATGCATCAGTTCAATGGTGTAGAAAGTAAACAGTATTTGAATGCCAAATGGAGGGTCCTAAGCCACCATGTCCATGGCATAATCTTTCTGAGCACTGGAGTGACATTCTCTGCACTGACACATGCAGAGTCCAAGCCTCAGCTGATATAAATGTAATTTCATACCATATACACATGCATTGATACCTTGATGCTTCACAGGGCAATCGCTTTTAAGTGTTCACTTGCCTACCATCAACATCAGTCCATAAAGACTTAAGATCCATGACTGTGGAGAGCCTCTCTTCCTTCTGATCCAGAATATGGGTATGCCCCCATTAATGTCTCCCTTCTGTACTATCCCAATGACAACCCAAGGATAGCTGAGCATTTTCTGTCACCCTTAAATTCTTTCAGGAGACTGTTCAACTCTGTGGGGTTCTTTTAAGGTGAAAATATCTTGTTCCCTCCATATTGCTTCCCTATTGCTTTCAGAAACAGCTTTCCCTCTGCTTCAACCTGCAACAGCTTTAGCTCTAGTATCAATAAGATGTAAGGATATTGATGGAGAGATTTTTGTGTTAGTCATCAGTCCATCTCTTCCCATCATATCTGTCATCTGCAAGGGAAATGGCTTAACTTATTGCACATTCCCTAAGAGACCAGATGTAATATGGTCAATATCCCATATAAATGTTTTGAGAATGGGAATGTGTAGGACAGTCTCAGATTCACTACCAATCAGCCCATGATGGCTTTAGCAGTTTTGATTGCCCAGGAGGAAAGACTGTCTCTATTTTTCCAAGCCAATTTGCATGCAGTGAAACATGCCAGTGCTGATTGTCTGGACAATTGAAAAGCAACCCTGATCCTGGTGGTGTCTCTTTTTGTTCTGGGCAGATTGTTCCAGAGATTTTGGTGTAATAAACATTTAGGGATTGGTATGAAGATAAGGTGGTGTTGGTGATGTTTTATGCAGCATAAGATGGATAGAGACTGGCTGCTGTGGGACAACCTGCTAACAGTATGATTGATCTGCCTCAGAGAGCTGGGTATGGCTGCTAATTCAGTGATGTAGTAGAATTAATGGTAGATGCTGATGCAGACTGATTTTATAAAGTATTGTTTTTCTTGGTGATTTATGGTTGCATCTACTAGTTAAAATTAGCAGCCACCTTAGCAGGAAGTTTTAACCAAATTGCAGATTCTGCACTGAGTTTCTCAACTCCAAGCACTGAAAGCATCAAGAGAAGAGAGAGAATTCCAAGTGAATCTGACATCAAACAAGAGCTAGAGAGGAGCTTTCATTGAAATCACAATATTGCCAGCATTCTGGGTGGTTTCTCAGTACTGCAAACCTACCTGGAAAGTGTGAGCCTGGGATTTGGCCTGCCCCACATCTCCTTCATGTGTATCTACACAATTCTGGTTTTGACCAGTCTAAAACAGAAGAGGAAAATATTAGAAAAACTGCCATGCATATAAATGACTTAGCAGGTGCTGAAAGGAGAAAAAAGTCTTTCTGATTAGATTGGTTACAGATTGAAATTCAGAGTATCTTAACATAGTTTCTGCATCACCAAAAAGTTTGTAGTCTTGCCTTGGACATATTATTCATCCTGCTTAGGTAAGTTGCTCTAAATTAAGGGTATAAAACAAAAACTTCCATTACTGCTTATATAACAAAAAACATTCAGGTTTACTCCGGACAAAATGTTTTAGAAACAATTCTGCTTATTTTTAAGGCAGCATTAAAAAAAAAGAATTAATACCTTATTTTTACAATTTCCAAAAGGCTTTTTCCATGTTATATAAAACAACCTCTCTGTGTAGAATGATTAGATGATTATTATTATATTTTTGTGCGCATGCACATAAAGCTAACACAAAATTCCAATATCCCCATTTTATCAAAAGAAAAGCTCTTCAGGTTTTCATGGGTGAAAGCTCAAATTTAGAGGATGCTTTCTCTTAAAATCTCTATTTACTCTAAATCAAAATAATATTTTAAAAAGCACATGTCTTGCCTTGTGTTAGGAAACCCATTTCTCACTTTCCACGAGTAGCAGCTATATTTGGTAGGGAATCCCATTTTCTTGGAAACGTGACCTTCTCTTGCCTCATTGATGTGCTCTTTGCTGACAAGAGTAACTGAGTCACAGTCTCTGCCCTTTATTATTGTAAATAATAAGAACAGTCCAATTCATTTCTAAAGAACCCAGTATTTCTAGAGAGGTAGCAGCAATTTACTTACTTAACCTTATAACTGACATTACCACAATCCCTAAAACAAAAAGCAACAAGTATTTTAAGGAATTATTTCACAAAACAAGGACTGACAGCACAGCTTCAGGGCCTTCAATGCAACACCTACATTTAAATTAATACAAGAGGAGAAGCAATGCCTGAGCTAATAATCCCAGACAGCTTTTCTCTGCTAGTGCAACAGGAATGGGTAATCACAGGTGCATCAGCAGCAGACAGCCAGTCACAAGACTCTGAGAAGCAGGAAGAGTCCTGCTGGCTTGTGCATTCCCAAACTGTTATTAGCCAGAGGAAAGTCGTGAAGAGATCTAAAGGAAATATAATGCTAAAAAGGAAGAGGGTTAGCAAACTACATCAACACCTAAAGGGTATTTGTGGAAGTCAGATAGAATAGCCTTTTAACATTCCAGTGAGAAAAAGTAATAATGAGGAACATATCTCTTCACAATGAATTTACATTCACATCATAAAGACAATTCATAGATTAACAAAAAATCTGAGGAGACAGAAGATTGTCATTTCCTTTGATGTTAGCACTACCCAGCAAATTTGAAGATCCAGAGATATCTATGTGCCCCACTCCTACTGATATCCATGGGCCTGTCTCTTTAAACAAGAAAGATATCAAATTCTCTCTGTAGATCTGAGCCTCATGTTCTCCCGCAGTAGGTGCTGTGTAAAAAGAAGATTGAAGAACTTAACTGAGCTGGCTAATCAAAGCTGCCTTTAGTCCCTGGGGATAGAGGCACCTCCAGCAGCCAGGGAGTTCAGCAAACAGCTCAAGTGTGTGCTCTATGCTTCTCGAGGTGCCTCAATCTGAAAGGGAAAATGCATTTTCATCAGATGACCAAAGTGCCTGAATTCTTTCCTCCTCCTTCAAAGAGATTTCATTGTTGTTGCTGTTGTTGTCTTTCATATGAAGATAGGGAGGGCATGTCCAGTCACTGCCATAAGGTTGCAGGGCTCCTGCAGTTTTCTCTCCTCCATTGAGTATTGTTTTATCAGAGAGTGAGAACATTCATGGTAGAATTGGTCTGTAATAACCAAAAGTGTAAAATATGTGGCACAGTGGCTTAGTAGGGAATAAAACCTGATGCTGCTACAAAGCTGGTGAGGAAAACCCCAGTGTTTTTACTGAGCTGTATCCCTTTTCAAAATACTCTTCCCCTCCTGGAGCTGAGATAAACCTTTCCAGATAAAAGTTTTCAAAACATACTTAGATTCCTTAATGGCTTTAATTAATCAACATTTTCTTACCATATTTTCCTCTGAAAATCTCTTGCCCAACTCTGAGCACTGCGTTTTCTGTGGATCAGTTACCCGCTTATAGTTTATTTAACTACAAAAACAGTCCTTAGGTTTCGCATGTACATTGAGTAAAGGTTTTTGTTTACTGTCTGTCAATACACAAGGAACAAAAGCAGCATTTACAAACTGGTAACCATTAATACGTTAGGGAAATGTGACAACTGTTTTTTTTTTATTCCAGTAATTCATGAACTCTATTATGCATATCCCTAAGCAGAAGAGAAGTTTTATTTGAATGGAATCTCAGAGAAAAATAGACACATACAGAAAATAGGTTTTTCTTCATATCAAGCCTGTTCTTTAGAGTCTTTGTAGAGGAAAATAGTGACATAAATATCTTGTTGACTTTTTTAAATGGATGAACCAGACAGTGTACCTCTTGGAGCAAAACTGCTGTGAAAGTACTTAGAAAATGGTTGTCTCTTATTTTGTTCTACTAAATATAGTAACTGTTTAAACAGTCATTGCATTAAGATCAAATTAATGCCTTCTCTATTTTTACCTTAAATTGCCTGGTGCTAAAAATAATTTGGAGATGACACGTTGCATGCACCTTACTTCTTTCAAAGGAAGAATCAGGAAACGTGAAACTCCATAAACCAGGATAAAATACACCCAACAGTACACAGTCAGACTCATGACACTCACTGTCCTGGCTGGGAACAGATACCTTGTTTATCCACCTGAGAGAAAAGGCATCTTCCAGAAGAAGATTAAGCAGATTACCTAGGCAAGAAGCAGGATAGGAGGAGGGTGCTTGAAACACAAGCTTAACTTTATAATTGTAACAATTGAAAAACAAAGTAGTAGTGTTAGGAGCAATCTTGAAGGGGTCAGACTATGGTCACCTCAGTGCTTCACACTGATTCTCAAAAACAGTGTTTTCTGTAAATGTTTCCTTTGTTCTGACTGCAAAACCACCTTGCCAGATAAACTTCCACTTAATATCATTTTGCTGTCACTGAATATTGGGAGTCTCCTTTTCCATTCCTAATTAACTACTGACTCTGCTAGAAGCAATCACATAGCCTGGGTTTTCCAGTGGTCCACATTGATTTTTAAGAACCTTTGTTTTGGGGCCATCTGCCTTCAATTGCCTGAATGTGTGCTTTTACATGCTGAGATCTTTTAAAGTGCACATAAAATATAATCTAAAAATTGAGGTAATTAGACAAGCAACCAAAGCCATTGCTGAAGCACTCTCTCCACTTTCTCTCACACTCACAATTTTTGCTTTTGCCAAGAATGGTGGCACTACAGAATTGTATTTCAACTTCAAAAGAATGCTGTGAATTAACCACATTTCCAGAGGAAGATGGCTGGGGTACACTCTGGCCGTCAATGGCTGTTCATCCTAGGTGGGTCATACTAATAAATTTACCTCCTTTCACACTTTATTTCACAGTAACCCACACCTGGAGAAACCATTTTTATTGCATGCCCAGACACACTGTATATCCCCAGATTACTAAGCTAATACAGAACTTGATATTCAAATGTCTTATAATCATAGAATCTTCATGGCCAACTCCATGATATGGATAGAGCTGAGGCAAAACTAATTCTAAAACCCCCTAAAATGTAGTAGAACTTCTCCTTCATCCCTTGGTCCCTTGGGATTCAGGTGAAAAGTTAAAAAAACCCAAACTTTTAGTAGCTCAGAATGATGCATTTCTCTCATTGATGCCCTTTGGTGTGATAACAACAAGAAGAATAAATTCGGCATAAAAAAACTTCAGTTAAAGCTTAATGAAACAATTATTCCTCTGAATTTGCTTTGATTGCAGGAAGAAAGTTCATTCACCACTTCCTCAGGCTTTCATCTGTTAAAGGTCACTGACTGACCACAATGACCAGGGTACGCAAATGAGTTAGTCTTTTGGAAAGCACTGTTAATAGCAGTAGTGTTCAGAAACAGTCACCATGGCAGAACATAGGTATTACCCTAGAGGCAGGAGGAAGAAGAGATGCAAAACCTGAGGTGCACCTGCTGGTGTATGCTTAAAATTGTCCTTTCCTGAGATCCAAGAAGCTCTCAGTTTGTATATCCTAGAAAAGCAGACTCAAGAGTGCACAGAGAATTTGTAATCCACATGAATTTAAGAAGGATCCAGGAATGTGAAAAAGTTTGTGTTGAAAAGAGCTGAACTTGGAACATTTATCCACAGAAAAATCAGTTATTAGTTTCAAAGTTCAAGACTCCAGATTAAATGAAATCCTGCAGTGTGGGATGTGGGGGAATGGGAGAAAAGACCAGGCTTCCTGCTCTGAACAACACCAGGTCTTTCATTTGCCACCATCTTGCAAAAAGATCTGAAACTTGTTTACTGAGTGCAGCATGCATGTCACTATTACAAATGGGTTTATTATGGCGGTTTCATTTTGCCTTTGAATATTTTACTTATGCACCGAATTAATTTTACACAAGATAATTATGAATTGATACAAATTACTCCTCATAAATATGAATTATGTTCTATTTTCTGAACTGGAGAACTCAGAGATACAAATGTATTCAATAGATTTTTATTTTTTTTTTAATCCCAAAGTCTTGCATTTTGTGCCTGCTGCTTGTACTTGGTGAAACTTCTGTGGCACATGAGATTATTTGTCACAGGTTTGCTTCTGATATTGATTTTTCCAGTGGAAGAACCTTGTATGTTTGTATTCGTAGAATCATAGAATAGTTAGGGTTGGAAAGGACCTTAAAATCATCAAGTTCCAACGCCCCTGCCATGGGCAGGGACACCTCACACTAAACCATGTCACCCAAGGCTCTGTCCAACCTGACCTTGAACACTGCCAGGGATGGAGCATTCACACCTTCCTTGGGCAACCAATTCCAGTGCCTCACCACCCTTACAATAAAGAACTTCCTCCTTATATCCAATCCAAACTTCCCTTGTTTAAGTTGTAACCCTGTTTAAGTTTTAAACCTTGTCCTATCACTACAGTCCCTAATGAAGAGTCCATCCCCAGCATCCCTATAGGCCCCCTTCAGATACTGGAAGGCTGCTATGAGGTCTCCATGCAGCCTTCTCTTCTCCAGGCTGAACAGTCCCAATTTTCTCAACCTGTTTTCATATGGGAGGAGCTCCAGTCCCCTGATCATCCTCGTGGCCCTCCTCTGGACTTGTTCCAACAGATTCATGTCCTTTTTATGTTGAGGACACCAGAACTGCGCACAATACTCCAAGTGAGGCCTCAACAAGAGCAGAGCAGAGAGCCAGGATCCTCCTTCGATCTGCTGGTCACGGTCCTTTTGATGCAGGCCAGGATATGGTTGGCTTTCTGGACCACACAAGAAAAGCTATTCCTAAGCCTTGTTTCAGCTGAGTGGCAAGAAGGACTTTTACCCACATGGTGAGTTTGCCTAACCATAGCTATGCAACCTCCGAAAGGAAATATACCATAATAAGGCAAATCTTTAATTCCCTTACAGGCAAATCATCCATGAACAAGGGGATACTATGTTTTGGTTTCCTCTATGGTGCAGATGGGTCTCTCTTCTACCCAGCATAGGAAAGTAGAAAATGTCTGATCTTCTGGGAACTTGGCAGCGATCTGATGTAACCCTCAAGGATTGATTCACACATTTTCTGTGACTTTTTTCCATCTCCCAATTTCTTTAAAATGGGCGGAAAATCATCTCCACACTAAATGTCCTGAAATAACCTTCAGCTCCACTGAAGTGCCATGAGAATTGCAAAGGGCCAAACAAGTATAAAACTGAGAAAGCTGAATAATCTAACTTGGAAATCAACTGTGATATTTGCTGAGAGCAATAAAACAGAATGGAAAAGCAATGAAAGAGAAGCAGGATGATTTTTCTTTAGGTAGGAAAACAAAGAGCAGTTTCAAATACAACTTAAAGGGATGTGCTCACACTTTGCATTTAAGATGAAAAGTCTACCTTTGATACTAGTTGATCATTTTATTTTCACTGGCACACATTTGAAACAGATGGCTGCCCCAGCCTTTTGTTCCTAAGTACCAGCCTGAAGATTTGAAATAACCAGTGATAGAAGTGAATTGAATAATTGAATGCAACCTGGTTCTGCCTGTCCCCTCTCTCCTCTATCAAAGCTGGCTTCCAACAGGGGTCTTAAAGTCCCTGTCTGCTCTGGCCTTCAGTTCACAACTTCCTTCTACATAATTATTTCACACCTCTCTGTCTCCAGAATTTGATCAGGTGGCATTTCTCAGTCACAGCTGTCTACTGACAGAAATAATGGTTTTTGAGAAAAGAATATTTCAGTGGGAGTGCCCAGTTTTTATGGGAAATTTCACTATTTAAAAAGAAAGCACACACAATCACTTCCACATACTTGAGAAATGAGATTTCTCCACTTTTCCCTGAAAGCAAGTACATACTTCCCCTTTGTTATTATGCTGCAATGAATCATGGGAGTTTTGGTTCAATTCTGTAGATATCTGCCCTGATTTATAGGTCACCTTTAAAGACAGACCAACTTTTGGAAATCCTTTTTTTAACCTAAACAGAGATAAAGACAAAAAAAGGACAAAAACCTAAACATCTACAAAGAAAATAAAGGAAATTAAAGCCTTAAAGGGGCTTAATATATATAAAAAAAATTTCTCTAGCATAAGGCTTTATCTTAAATAAACAGAAACATAAAATGTATGGATCAGTAGCTAATCCTTCTCAACAGCTTCTATCCAGCGCCTTAATTATGGCATAAGGTTGCATTATACATGGGCATACCAAATGACCTCAATTCTCCTCCATGCAGAATCTGCCACATTACATTATCTCGCTTCCTGTCATACAGCCTGCAAAAGGCCTTGGCCTCCATTTGTGAAATCACCCCTGAGTTGAACACTGCCTGATCAAGCATCCGAGCGGATTTGTTATTTCTCACAATAGCAGTGCAGTTCATCGAGCCACACTACCCATCATTGCCTGGATTAGACCCCACAAAGCCAGCTGAAGTTTTCCTATGGACTTATAAGGCAAGATCCACTATGCTAAAATGGGACCACTGCAGGAGCTTTCAGTGCATATAGAATTCGATCCATAAAAAAGGAGAAGGAATGCTTCTTGTAGAAAGCAAGTCTGCACTCTTGAACACTGTGATTACCTCTAAAAATCACCTTCTTGGAAATTAGACACTTAGCAAAGACAGTTGACAGTTAACTCCTTACCATTTATTTATTCTGGGAATAACTAATCATATTGATTAAAATATCCCTAGGTCTGTTACTTGGTTCACCAGATTAAAGCTCCTCTGATTATATCTGTGTATTTTCAGAGAGGTTACAAGATTCATCGTTAAGCAGAGTAAAGGCTGAATTCCAGAATGGCTGTTATTGCTATAGCATGATACAATACCCTTAAAAGAGATAAATAATGAAGTGACTGAAAGAAATAATTCAATAAGCTACAATGTTCCATATACCTATTTGCTTTATTATTATTCTTAAATTTCTCCAAATAAACTTAGGAATTATATTTATGCAACAGATTTTCCTGATTCCAAACACACAGATAATGTAGGCATACTTCTGAAAAGCCATAAAAGAGATTTGAAAGCCATACAAAGACTAAGAAAGAAGTCCAAAATTAAACACTGGCAGTGAAAACAGATAAATCTGTTAGAATGAACGTGTTTGTATGCTGATCTGGAGTTCCAAGGCAAAAAAAAAACATCACCACTTCAAAAAGTTCCACATAAAGTAATGTTTTCTTTCAGCACTGTTTGATGTTACATACACAAGCAAACACACATTTGGGTTATGCATACACAAATCCTTTGACTTCAACAGCTAGATTTCAACTCTTGACTTTATGGGATTTCCAGCTCAGAATTTTTATTTACAGATGTGAAAACCTGGGGTAAGCATAGACTTTCAGTACTTTATCAGTATTTGGGGAAAAAAAAAAAAATCCATCAAAAGTCTTCATGTCTTTGCATTTTGAAGACTGCTGAAGTCGTTAGAAAAAACAAGGTACAAAGTTGGTGTATGGAAATAGAGGTAGCCATCTGAGAATCTGTAAACCCGGTCTAAAAGCAGTAAGCCCCTGAATATATCAGTCTCCTTTTTCAAATCAGAACCACAACATTCCCTTTTTACCACTGTTATTCAGCCTAACATTCATATTCCCCATGTAATCATTTATTTACTTTTACAAATTGCTTGTTTCGTCCTTACACAATCAAAATCTCTTCAGAGCTGACCCCACTTGCAGTGCTGCAGCAACAAAGGCTTCAGGGAAGGAAAGAATCAGAGGGTAAAGATGGGCAATACTGTAATTCCTTGCCAGCCCTTGGCATTCAAACTTCATCACATCTCCAAAAGCTCATTAAAACAGAAATTGGACTTCACTGGTTGAGCGGGCAGCCAGACAGAGTCAACATGCATGAGGGAAAGTGAAGAATTTTTGAATCTGATCATCAAGCAGCCCCAGCAATTGGATTTATAAACCAGGGACTTACCGCATAAGACACAGAAGAGATTGATGCTGTTGAAGAGGACCTGCAATTATCTAAATTAATGAAATCAGGAAGCCACACCTGCTCCACATCACTGACTCACTTCTCTGGCTCTGGCCCAAGCTTGAAAAAGTGGATTTAGCACTTGATGGGTTTAACATGGGATAAGCATGGTAAGTTATACGCATCTAACAAGCTCCTTCAAAGTGTTGTGAGAAGCACAACATGGGTGAGAGATCATGGCAGTTAATTACTTCCCTGCATGGCAGAAAAGCACCACGCTCCCTGGAGGGAGTCCTTACCTTTCAAAAAAAGGCCTTTTCTACAGGGAGGGAAGTTTTGAGAGCCTAAGTTGGTTAATGTACCTGGATGATCAGAGCGACTTCTACCTTTGAAGGCGCTGTCAGTCTGCAAGGCATTATGGTATAACTCCTCATTCTTCCACCCAGTAAATGTTTTTGAGAAATATCCAAACTCAAAGCTATAATGGCTGTTACATACACTCTTCAACAGAGCCACCTCTAGCCATAGGAATACACAAAGGCTGATAGAAACAACCTTTCTTTTGTTGCCTTCCATTCAGTTCTGGAAAGGCAGACAGTGCCTCTAAGGGGAAGATTTGTGGGATGTATGAGACAGTAGAATAGCAAGCATGTGTCCTTTAGTGGGTTTACTGTCACTGTCTCGTATCTGCACATTCCCCTCTTTTATTGAGCAGTGCCTCATCCTGTGCCTGCAGTGCACACGTCTATGACTCCCACTGCCCTGGTAGGAGCAAGTCCTTGGGGTTTCACCTCACCTCAGGAGATGGCAAGAGTTTTGATAGAAAGACATATATGCATGGAGCCATGTAAGGCTAGTGGCAGGGAGACAGCTTCTCCAGTTACATTCACATGGAGATACTGCCCAGTGCCACCAATGGCAATTCTCACTATTAGAAGAATGCAGCAAACACTCAAATTTGAGGCTGAATAGTGACAGAAAGAATAAAACACAAAGTAAAAGGCACTGAGACCCAAGTAGGTTGACTTCAGAAAGAGGTTTTAGGTTTGCATGTTTCATAAAGCATGTTTACAAGCTTCACAAGTCTAATTGTAATTCATTTACAAGAACCACAAAACCACTAAAGCTCATGGAGGGATGAGATTCTACGTAAACTGACCATAATTTTATGTTTTACATCTCTGATGTCTGATTTGGCAGAGCCAAATGGGATAATTCTCTCTCTAACAAAGGTCACAGCAGAATTATGCTGATAAAGAAGTACTTACTCAAAAAAAAGGACAAAAAGCAACTACACAGCAGTCTCTTTCTCCCCTCAGTGCTTTAGAAAGTTACCAATATTCTGAAATTCAAGTTGACTTGAGAACAAGAATAATTTAACAAAGATGAAGACAAATACAAGTACATAGAAATATCCTGACAAATCAAATTTCCAGAGTGAAGTCTCTAACTCTTCTTTCCTTAATTAGATTGAGATAATGCAGATGAGTGGGTGAAAATTATTCCTCTAATGGTTAGGAGTCATTCAATTGACAGACTAGGTTTGCTAATGTACAGTGTCTAACTTTTTTTTCCCCCTACCATCATTGTCCTTCAGTTTATATAGTTCTTCCTCCCTCATGTTTAATCCTCTCTTTGGCACTTATTTAGAATAATCCTATCTCCTCTCAAACTTCAATTTGCAGGCTAAGCCAGCTAAGCTCTTTCATCTTCTGAAAACACACACTCCGTTCTTTGGTGGTCTTTCTTTGCCCTTCTCCCCATTTCAGCTTCTTGAACTTAAGTGATAGAATTATCGAGGACATTCACGTAGCCTTGGACAACAGCTAATTACCTTATATGTGCTGGTAGCCTCTCCGCAGTACATCGCTGGAGTTACATTTCTCTTGTCTCATGTCAGCTGCCCAGCAGTGGTTTCAGGTTCAGCTAGAGACTTTCTCCTCTGCTTCCGGAGGATGTGTTCTCTGATTAAAGTAACAACTCCTGCATTAATCTATAATGAATGACTTCACATTATTGAGATTAAACTGCTGGTGGGCCATGTTCTCATCTCAAATGCAGAGCAAATCTTGACTCATTTCATTAACCAAAATGAAGTGACCTCAGATTTCCAGCCATGTAAGATTCATCTTTAAACAGACTTTTGGATGAGCTATCTACAGCTACTCTGGATGCCATTAAAAAGTAGTGTTTATAACATATTTTGTTGTGCATAATGTTCTACAGAGAGAGGGTGCTTTTGCCATGACATATGGTGTACAATGTAAATGAACTCCAGTGTAACAAATTAAAAAGCTTTTACAGCAACCTCTAAATACTATTTATGACTCCCAAGTGCTACCTAGGCTGGCCACCAGTCAAATAATTATAGCCTCTACACCAAGTGCCAGAGTGCATTTTGTTGACTAACTGCTTCTACAGAGAGCTATGCAATCTATTTCCATGAGATATACTATCCATAAACCTCCATCCATTTTGACAGCAAAATTGCAAAAGCACAATGTGTTACCAGGTGTCATTCAAAGAATGGATGCTGTAATGAAGTAGCCATTTAAAAAAAAAAAAGTCTCTGATGATCTTTCCTAACACTATCAAGCTTTTGTTACAGCAAAAGAAACTCCTCATGACATAAGGCCTATCCAAAGCTTGCTGTAGTCTATCACTGGCATAGAAGCACTCTCCTGCCTATGCATGATGGAAAAACTGGTGAGTAGGGCTGGTTGAAATACAACAACTGAAAACACTTCTAATGAACAAAGGGGTACAGTTCTACAGGGAAGTAGAATCTGGCAGAAAATACCCAATTCCCTGAAACATGGTTTTTGTTTCAGAGACAATTCTATTTATTTGCATGGAAAATAAAATAATAAAAAAATCTTTTCAGAAACAAAACAAAACCAACACAAATCAGCAGCAGCTTCCACTTCTGTTTCTGGGAGCTTACAAAAAAAAATAAATATCATATTCTTATTATTTAATGAGATTTATCTGTTAAATCAGCTAAGAGCTGGGGTTTTCTGTGTTGTTCAGGTTTGCTTGTTTATCAAACTAATGCAATAGAGTAACTAGTAAAATCTTTTTTTTCGTTCCACCCGAGTGCGGCAAAAGGTAAGACGAGCAATAGGTATTCCATAGCTCTGAAAGGACTCCATCTATCAGGAAAATTGCTACTTCTTTTTCTGCCCTATGTATATTTAAATACAGCTAAACTAGTATTGCTACACATCTCCATGCTGATTCCAAAGTGGAAAGCAAGCAACAGGCATAGCCCACTATTTGAGATATAGTCTTGTTTTGGGGCACATCTCCTAGAATGATGACTGCATTGATTTATTACTGGACTATCCCCTTTAAGCTGTGTGCAAGCCTGGTTTAAACCTACACAGCAGCTTTCCGCAGTCAAAGGTTTTCTTACAAATGAGCCACACTGGTTTGTGACAAAATTGCTACGACATTATGACTTTAAGAGGCACCGGCAATACATTAATCAATCATGGATACTATATTTAAGCTGGAAAGCACTTGTCCCATTGTCTGGCTTAGAACAGAGTAACAGCATTAAATACCTACATAGCAACTGAGAGTATATGTTTGTAGTCTTTTGTTTGCAAAAGCAGTCATTTTCTGGTACAGACTAGCGAGAAAATTCATACAGAACTTAAAGCAAGGAAGAAGAACAGCAAACAACAAGGGGTTCTGGACATTTTCTGCACTCTGTATTAATTAACCATTTTATAACTTTGTGAAAGAGATAGGTTTAGAAACATCTGTTCCCAGGACACAAAGTGTTCTGCAGTAATTTAGGAAATGCTCTTCACTCACATATTCACATCCTTTTCTTTCAGATGTCCTAAAAAAATAAAAAATAAAATATAAAAAATAAAATCTGAAATGGTAGTATCAGAAAAGAAATGTTTTATAAGGAATAAAGGAGATAGCAGATTTCCCAAACATCATTCCAGAACTCTATCTCAAAGGGAATTAAAAAGGCAATAGTTTTACCCTGTTGTTTGCGATTAGCAGGTTTCTCTCAAAACCAATTGATGCTCCAGGCCAATTTTGCCTGTAGTTAGTGCCATGTCTATCACTTAGAACAAAATACTGTTTACAAAGGGGAAAGATTCCCACAAATCACAGTCCAGACACACTAGATTTTGCAAATGTCTAGACAAATAGGACCATCCCTGTGCCAGTGTTAATAAACCTTCACACATTCATTTTTAGCTCCTAATAAGAATGGTCTTAACTTTTAATATTTGACTGTTAACACCAATTGCCTTAACTCAATGTCCCTTTTCCAAGCTAAAGCTTCAGTCTGGCTGTTACGCATGGTAGAAATCTGCATTTTCCATTATCAGTGACTGCACGTATATATTTGAAATACTAAAGGATTTAAAAAAAAAGGAGAAAATATTCTTGATAGCTGACTTAACAAAGAAAAGTATTAACCCTGCCTATCAGAGATTGAGTTGGAACTAAGGTAATGAAACTAAAATTTCTAAGAACACAAATGTAACAGAATTAAGTCCACACCACTTCAGATATTAACATGCTGGCACTTACAAAGTAACTATATAAAAGAGAAGACTAACACCAGGGGTTTCAATTCTTCTAATATGTTGCTAATGACAGTGATTGTGTCTCTAAATTTCAGTGGTCTTGTATCTGAGAAATTACAGTTGTGCATTCAGATAGTTTCATAAAGTAATACTGGTACAATGAATCTGTTATATGCCTTCTCTCTAAAAACGAGGTTACACTTTTAGATAAAATTAGATAATACAATATTTACTAATTCCCCAATTGTTTATTTGGGTTTAAATATGCTGACTTTGATTAAGCAACTATGAACAATTTTTCTGTTATTTTCACCAGTCTGTTAGCAATCTAACAGGGATACTGAGGGTAGCAGATAAAATAACAACTAAAGCTATTTCAACTCAATAGCTGGTATACAGCAGCAGATTACCAATTACATTCAGAAGACAAATTACCAGTAGATTTCATCTCCCTTAAATAAATACCAATTTAAATCAAAAAGGTCTGAAAAATCACTGCATGCTGAGAGGTAGTTGTATGGATACCTTTAATGAAAAATTAGCTGTGGGTTAAAAGAACCATGAAGCAGCTGAGGACATTCTGTTTTCACTGGATTAGGACACAGTTTTTTCAGGCTTAGCACAAGTATTCTGAAAGGAGCAGAGACAATCTGTAGCAGGAGTCC